GGTAGTTTGTGCCCCTAATTATTTCCATGGAAGAAGGTGCTAACAACAGCAATTACTGTCATCTATTATCTGGGTCACAGGAACCATGTTTTAAGTTGTGTGTTTGGCACTATGAGAGCAAGATATGTCAATTTAACAACATGGCTGCTATACATTTACATCACAGGGTTTCCATTGTACTTATTTTGTAATACTGACAATGATTACGTTTAGTTTTATCTAAACACTAATCCACAAAGTAAGGGATGAAATGTTTTGAACACATTTGACACATTTTGTAAATATAACGAGTTGGGATTTTCTAGCAACATATGATTTCCACTCTAGTTGTTCTATGATTAACTGTCAGGGAATTTGAAACTGTGATTTGATATGAGTGGATGATGTAATCAGGATGAATTTTCTAAATGATAACATAATAAGAAGAGGGCATGTGTTTAAGCTGATTGAAGAATGAAGTAAGCAGCATTTTGAAACACATAGAAGGTGCCAATTGACAGGGAAAGTAACCTTCTGAAGACTTGGTTTAGAAAGGAGGGCACAGCACTATTTTTGGTTTGCTAATAATATTCTGGGGTGTGCAGAACAGAGCTTAACAGGGAGAAGCTTTATCTTTGTTAACATTATATTACTTTAGGAACACTTTCTATGAAGACCACGTATATAGTGCATTGTGATGGTATTCCTATAATAATTTATAATGCACATTATAACAGTGATATAACGTTTTTATCATTAATTTGATTGATTTATAAAAGTGTCATATACTGGCTGGGGTTGACTGATGGGGCTTATAAAACATTATGACCTATTCTCACCAATATAAACCACCATTATACATGTTTCATCAATGTTTCATTTTTGGTAGTTAGCAAATGTGTTCCATTTTCATGTATTTAGGGAAATCCATGGTTCATCGTAAGTGATTAAGAATGAACTTGAACATCTATCTGGTGTCACTATTTGTGTTTGACTATTTGTAAAGTCTACACACCTAATGCTAAGCAACCCTGGAAGTGATCCTGTGTGGCACCCAATTTTTGTTGACAAATCTCCAGGGCAGTAAATACATCTCAATAGTGTCTGATATGTCAAAAGATCAGACCTTTTTATTATTCATCATAAAGCTGAGGACATGTAAACCCAGATCTGATTAATTTCTATTTTTCAGAATTCAAAAGAATGAATACTAACCGGCTTTTTTCTCCTTTCCTTTCTCGGTGCACTCCTTGAACAAAAACAACAATTTCCATCCAGCAGGTAAGAGTATTTTCATATCCTTTCTTTTTAAATCCCACACAGGTCTCCCAGGTGTTAGTATTACAGTCTCACACCATCGAGATTAAATACCATCAACCCATATTTAATTTCCATGAATGTTCCATGTCTTTTCTTTACTCTCTCTCTTTTTCCTTCTATATCTATTCTTCACCACACTCAAACTGCATCGAAAAATACCAAAAAAACATCCCTGATCTTCTCAAATATTGCTTTGAAAGTGATATTCACAAGACTGACATTTTATGCAGCAGTCTTTTCAACACAGGCAGCTGCATTGCTCCTATTTTTGCACGCTTTGTGATTCCACCCGAGATTTATACACTGCATTAATATTAATCATCCTGCTGTGCAGCCATGCCTGAATAATGCAGAATCATGATGTGCAGAGTGGGATGCTATGCAGTAGTATGCTTATATTGTGTGTGCGTGTGCGTGTGCGTGTGCGTGTGGAAAGGGGGGATGCAAGGCACTATTGTGGCCTATTAAAAATAGGTTTGTGCAAACATGTTAAAGGAGAGGAATATACTGCTCTAAAGTGTGTCAGTGCCAATTCATGCTCATGAGTGAGTGTTGCAGTGGATTTTTGGATGCGAAATCCACTACTAAAATGTAGGTCACTGGAATTACCAGTCAGATTGGATCAGACAGAAACGATTATCTAATGTTTTTATTTTGTATGTATCTTTAGAAAACTCTGTGCTGTTCAACTAAGTGTGTGTACGTCCACAATTTGTTCTTGACATTTAAGCTTTTGGTTCCTCCCTTACATTTGAAATGATTGCAGCTGTTAAATGTTTCAATGACCTGCAGGAAGTTGTGTTATTAGTGAAACCACTTCCCGACACAATACAACATTTCCCCAGACTTACCCACTTGTACTTATAGTATGTTCATATCTTAACATTACCATAGCACGGTCTCTGTATAAGCAGGTACTGAGAAACTGAACATGTTGTCTTTGTGCCAGACCTGTATTATTCTGAACTATTTTAATGTCATATTTTGTAATATGTATGGTTCAGCAGGAAGGGCTTGTTTCGTGAAATTGGAAAATGCAGAGTATAAAGTCCAAGCATCGGTACACACATACCGATTATGGTGTTGTCTTACTGTTGGTGATGCTGTTGCCTTAGACTCTCTAACATCAGCCTTACAACAAGTCACCGACAGTCTGCAAAGGATACGGCGATGGCAATGTGAAAATATTCACTAAGCCTCTTGTATGGATGGTGGCATTATGTGGATATGACCGAATGATACAAGGCCATTTTGGATCCGATATTCACAGGAAGACATGAATATTCTGAAGAGCAAAGTGATGTTATTTGATTGGAGAGTCTCCATTTTGCTTCTCTGCATTGTTGCTGCAGTTAGTGGACAAATTCGTTATTCTATATTAGAGGAGATGAGGAAAGGGCTGTTTGTCGGAGACGTTGCAAAAGACCATGGACTTGGAAGTAAAAAGGTTAGTTTCTGGTCGGGCTCAACTTGTTATAGATGATGATAACCAATATGTCGTGCTGAACCAGAACAAAGGACATATTGTTGTCAATGAAATAATTGATAGAGAACAACTACTACGTGTGCAGGACGACTGACTCCCAAAGGAGTGACATCAAGTATAAGCAACCAATGAGCCAAAGTTTGGTTAGTGTGGATGACGCTGGGACTGAAACTCTGGAGAAAGGAGAGCGGTCACCAGGTGTACCTCGCATGTCTACTCCGGTAAGTCAGTGTGTTCGATGCAAATCATATCAGCTTTTACATTTATGGACATCATGAATTGTATAGAAGCTTTACTTTCAAATACTGACATAACATTTTAAAGACTGGACTTATACAAAGGGTTTATGTTTATGTTCTGCAGCTCCTTCGCTGTCCATGGTGCTGAATATTTGCTTTGCACTGAGACACTCTTAATAAGACTGTCATTGAAGACGTTTCGTGACTAAACTTTAAGACCCTGGTTGAATTTAATAACTCAATTCAGTGTTCTTATTGTGATCTGCCCCACCGGGGGGGGGGGGGCCGCGATAATAAAGGGGGTTAGGATACTTAACGCTAACCTGGGTTCCCCAATACGAGCCCTTAGGACAAGTCACGCAGATAAGAGTAAAATGATGGACAGGGACGAGGCCTCAAGTTCAAATGTTTACAAAAGTGTATTATATAAATAATCAGGTAACAGTTCAGTATTATAAAATGCAGATTAAAACTTGTTCAGCTTCCCCAGTCAACACACCTAAGTCCCACGATTGAAGGCTGGCTCTGACAAGGAGAGAATAACTAGAAGGATTATAATATCACACATATAGTGATAGTTAAATAGTTAACAAGTGATTATTCTGGCCAACTGCTGAGGGTTTCCCCAAAATCACAATATCACGTGTAGCTGCATTCATTTAACACTCACTGCAAATCACTCCGCTCCACAGTATGGCCAGGATTGTCACTGAAGAAGGATAAACACAGAGACAGTATTAGACCTTGTGGGACAGGGTGGGTCGTTACAAGGAGGGTGCTGTCGCTTTAAAGACTTAATCACTATGCACAATACAACAAAATAGACGCAAAACATAGAAGGCATGCAAATCAATATTTAGGCAACAAATAGCCTGTAGGCATGGTAAAATACAGCTAAAACCTAAGATCAAGCAAAGGAAAGGCAAAACATAGCAAACTCCTCTGATGCAAACGCACCCACTCAAATATCACCTCACTGGACACCTCCGCAACGGTGATTCTCTACACAGTCTCTGCTGGGGCTGTCAAGAAGCCTGGCGTTTACAGGCCACATGTTAACAATTTAGTGGTAGGCCTACACTGAATGTTACAAGTCCTAACAGCAGCTTCACATACCTCGTATAGGGGGAATACACGCCTATCAGCCAGACAACGATGACCGGAACAAGAACACACTAGTAATATCACAGCTGATTTGGGTGAGGTGTGTCTGTGAGCATTTAAAGTGTAGCGGGAGATGCTGAACTACGTACAGCTGCGGCGTTTTCCTTATATGGAAGGGCCAGCTGACTAAAGAGGGGGGGGGGGGGGGGTGTCTTAAAGGGCCAGTGGCGGCCCAGCCACGTGAAAAAATGATCTGACAGCTAATCCAGAAAGCAGTAGCGCCGGCTACATTACCATGATAATACAACTAATAATAAGTATAATTATTATAATAATAATAATAATAATAATAATAATAATAATAATAATAATAATAATAATAATAATCTAAGTAATTGCATTTAATGACTGCGAAAATATACTTTTTTTACTACTGCTTCATTATATTCTCTTAATGCTTTGAACAATGAGCTAGACCCTCTTAATTTCTCAATGCACATTCTAGTCTCTGGTTTAGTTTATATTTATAGAAACAATGGCACCATTAAGGAGGAGTTGGAGTTGTAAGTATAGGTAAATGTTTCCTGTCAATGTAGTAGAGCTTTTTCTGTATTTTGTTTTGTTTTTGTTTTTCATGAATGAAAACTAAATGTATAGGCTACGTAGGGTTTTTGTCATCACCAAATGTGACACTACCATATAATTACAACCAAAACTCCAACTCATGCAGTTGATTTTCTTGTGATGCAGGTTTGATCATTTATCCTCTAAGTGACGCTGTTGCCTGGTAAATCATTTTACTGTGCATAGTGACGCAGTTCTGTTCCCTCCCCTGCACTGCGTTGTACAAGAGGGGATGATCTGTATTTATACGAGCTGGGGCTCATCGCAGACACAGACCATATATTAACCTTCCTATTTTCCCTAATCTGGACTGTATGTGTTTTCGTCAGTCAGTTACAATCTTCATTTTATTGTCCGGTTTGCTTTAAGACCCTTGTTTTCCATGGCACGTCAAGACAATTTTCGAGACGGAGGAGTGAGATGCCGATCGTTTGGACAATTGCGAGGGGGACTGTATCTGGGTTTTTTTCTCTTTTTTTTACTTAATCAAGTAGTTGCCCAAATACGGTATTCCATCCCAGAGGAGAAGAAGAAAGGGTCGCTTGTTGGTAATGTAGCACAAGATCTTGGTTTGGATCTGAAGAGGCTTCGTTCTGGGCGGGCCCGTATCGTGACTGGAGAAAACATCCACTACACCGAGCTGAAGACAGACAAAGGGATTCTAGTCGTGAATGAGAGAATAGACCGAGAGCAGCTTTGTGGAGACGAAACGCCGTGTAGCTTTACCTTTGAGATTTTATTGGAAAACCCAATGGAGTTGCACCCTGTGACTATAGAAGTATTGGACGTAAATGACAACGCTCCTATTTTCCAAAACAGTCATTTGAAATTTGAAATAAGCGAATCAGCCGTGCTTGGTTCCCGATTTGTTTTAGAAAGTGCAGACGATGCTGATGTTGGGGGAAATGGTCTGCAGAATTACGTATTAACTCCGAACGATAATTTTGATTTAAAACAACACGTCAATCCGGACGGCAGTAAATATGCTGAAATGGTGCTTCAGAAACCCCTGGACAGAGAAGAGCAGCCACGCCTGTCTCTAAAACTGCTGGCAGTGGACGGTGGAGATCCACAGAGATCTGGTACAGTAAATATAGATGTTTTCATCCTTGATGCCAATGATAATGCACCTGTGTTCAACCAGACACTATATAAGGCCACGGTGATTGAAAATGCATCAAAAGGCACACATATTATCACTGTGAATGCAAGCGATATTGATAGTGGTTCAAACGGAAAGATAACGTATTCATTTTCAAAATCAAAAGCAGGAATAGCTGATTTGTTCGAAATAGATGAGGCTACTGGGAAAATATATGTGGCTAAGGAAATAGATTTTGAAAAAGACAAAAAAGTCGAGTTCAGGGTTGAAGCCAAAGATCATGGCGGACTGACAGATTCTAGCAAAGTTGAAATTGAGGTAATCGATGTAAATGATAATGCTCCGGTCATTAACGTGATGTCCTTCACGAGCCCTGTGTCTGAAGACTCCCCCGCCGGTACAACTATTGGCATAATTAATGTTAAAGATCTGGATTCGAGTGAAAACGGACAAGTTAGGTGCACGATCGAAGGCAATGTTCCTTTTAAAATTAAATCCAATGTTAGAAATTACTATGCATTGATCACTGATGCTGCATTAGATCGTGAAAATCTGCCAGAGTGTAACATTACTGTTATTGCCTCAGACACTGGCTCGCCACCACTCTCAACTACAAGAACCTTTTATCTTAAGGTTTCTGATGTAAATGATAATGCCCCAGTATTTCCCCAGAGCGTTTATAGTGCATACATCACAGAGAATAATTCTCCGGGTGTATCTGTATTAAGTGTTCGAGCTAGAGACCCTGATGAAAACCAAAACGCCCGTGTTTCCTATATTTTGGAAGAGTGTGAAATAGGCGGATCTCCAATTTCTGTATATGTTTCGGTTAATGCAGAAAGCGGAGCAATACATGCAGTGCGCTCATTTGATTATGAACAAATAAAGCAAGTTGTATTCACTGTCAGAGGACAGGATGGAGGCTCTCCTCCACTGAGTAGCAATGTGACTGTGAAATTACTGATCCAGGACCAGAACGACAACCCTCCTCAGGTCCTGTACCCAGTCCAGACTGGTGGCTCTCTGGTGGCTGAGATGGTGCCTCGTTCAGCAGATGTGGGCTATCTGGTCACTAAAGTGGTGGCTGTTGATGTGGACTCTGGACAGAATGCCTGGCTCTCCTATAAACTGCAGAAAGCCACAGACAGGGCGCTGTTTGAAGTGGGCTTACAGAATGGAGAAATAAGGACTATCCGCCAGGTGACTGATAAAGATGCTGTGAAACAAAGACTGTCTGTTATAGTGGAGGACAACGGGCAGCCCTCTCGTTCAGCTACAGTCATTGTTAACGTGGTGGTGGCTGACAGCTTCCCGGAAGTGCTGTCTGAGTTCACTGACTTTACACAGGACAAGGAGTACAATGACAACCTGACTTTTTACTTAGTGCTGGCTCTGGCTGTAGTGTCCTTCCTCTTCATCACGTGTTTAGTGGTTATTATATCAGTGAAGATCTACAGGTGGAGACAGTCTCGCATCATGTGTCACTCCAATCTCCCTGTGATTCCTTATTATCCTCCACGTTACTCAGACACTTTGGGGACAGGGACTCTCCAACACGTGTACAACTACGAGGTGTGCAGGACGACTGACTCCAGAAAGAGTGACTGTAAGTTCGGCGGAGCAGGTAGTCAGAACGTGCTGATAATGGACCCCAGTTCTACAGGGACGATGCAGCGGATACAGAGTGAAAAGAGCATCCTGGATGAACCAGACTCTCCTCTTGAGGTGAGTCAAAAATGCCAGCTTCGTCTTTTTGGACCCTTTGTTTTCCTTTTGTTTCTAGTTTCATGTTCAGTGCCAAGGACAGCTTATTTTTCTTACACAACCTGATCAAAATGCTGTGTCTTTTAAACATTGCAAAGATATGTTTGGAATAGCAAAGGCTCTTGAATGAGCATTCATATGAAATTATATTACTGCATTCTGTCTCAATGCATTGTGAGGGAAGTAATGCAGAATCAGTAATGTTGTGTGTGCAGTGTTCTGGCAACGTAATCATTGTTTAGATACCATTTATTTTGCTTCTTCAAATTTGGGAAATAGTTTTGTCACAAGAGCAGGTAAAACATATTCACGCTTGGAAAAGAAAGATGCTGTTAGTGTGGTTTACATTAGCAACACTTGCATTTTGAACAGTGCTGTGCAATGTCTTAAGTAGAAGCAGGATCCTCCACTTTCATGATAGTGCTTATAGGGATTGATTTATCAGACCATGCAAACCGCTAAATTATAGGGAGTCAATCAAAGTTTTTCGCTTTTAAACATGCCTATAATTGTAACATGATGATTACCATTTTATGTATTTATTAAATAAACACATACAATGTAACAAGAAACAACAAGAAAAACAAGAAATACATTTTATTTCTTGTTTTTCTTGTTCGAACGTGTGCACAGTATACCACCTTTCTTGAAAGTGAGATTACATTTTCTTTATTCATACTGGTCCTATTGCCTTAAATGTATACTCATAATTTGCTATTAAACAACCTGTTGAATGGCAAATATTTCAATTTACCACAGAAAAGTAGTTTTTTTTACAGACTTTCCGAAATGATTTCTAGGAAGAGTTCAGTTTGTCTTCTTCAGAACTTTAGTGTGGTATGTGCAGTAATTGATGTACAGCTTTCAGACTCTAAGGGACGCTGTTGGTCAGTAAATGATATCCTGTTAAATGTCGTCATTCAGTCCACCCCTAAGCAGACTATACAGTGGAGAAGGCTCTCTGTGTTTTGTCGAGGTTTAGGGCACGAAAGAGACAACATCATCTCACAGACTTGCATTTAAATGTGGACGTGATTAACCATCAGCAAACGGATATATCAAAACTAGTTTTACTTTCTTATCCACTGGATACAGATTTTTTATTCTGTGTTGCCGTGATGGCATTGCGGGGATCTCTCACCTTCATATGCGCAAGACTGCCATTGTTTTATGGATTTCGATGGCAAATAGGACTGCTTATGTTGCTGCTTCACACGGTTAATATGGTAGGAGCGCAGATTCGTTATTCTATACAAGAGGAGATGAAGAAAGGATCTGTTATCGGTAATGTAGCACAGGATCTCGGGTTGGATCTCAAGAGGCTCCGTTCTGGGCGGGCCCGTATCGTGACCGGAGAAAACATCCACTACACCGAGCTGAAGACGGACAAAGGGATTCTAGTCGTGAATGAGAGAATAGACCGAGAGGAGCTTTGTGGAGACGAAACGCCGTGTAGCTTCAGCTTTGAGATGATTTTAGAAAATCCAATGGAACTGCACAGAGTAACTGTTGAGGTTTTAGATATCAATGATCACGCTCCCAGCTTTCCAAATAGAGATAAGCATATCAAACTTGAAATCGGTGAATCGGCTGCAGTCGGAGTGCAGTTTCCACTGCAGAGCGCAGAGGATCTAGATGTGGGGCAAAACGCGTTGCAAGATTATATTTTATCACCAAACGACAATTTTATTTTGAAGCAACATGCAAATCCAAATGGAGGTAAATATGTAAATATGGTGCTTCAGAAGCCTTTAGACAGAGAGCTACATCCCCATCTGTCTTTAAAACTGATCGCAGTTGATGGAGGAAGTCCCCAGAGATCCGGTACAGTAAATATAGATGTCACTGTGTTAGATGCAAACGACAATATTCCGGTTTTTAACCAATCAGTGTATAAAGCATCTGTGATGGAAAACACATTGAAAGGCACGATCATTATCTCAGTTAATGCCACAGACGCGGACAGTGGTTCAAATGGACTTATTACTTACAGTTTGTCAAAAACAAAAGGAAGTGCAGCAAATGTATTCAGTGTTGATGAAATCACCGGCATAGTTTCTGTGTCTGGGCAGATAGATTATGAAAAAGACAGAAAATATGAAGTGAGAGTAGAGGCAAAGGATCAGGGTGGTTTAACAGGAACAAGTACAATTATATTTGATGTTGTGGATGTCAACGACAATTCCCCAGTTATAAATATTATGTCTTTTTCAAGCCCCGTTTCTGAGGATGCCCTTCCTGGTACAACAATTGCCATTTTAAACATAAAAGATGCAGACTTTGAAAAAAATGGGCAAATAAAATGTTCAATAGATGTTAAACTTCCCTTTAAGATAGAATCTTCTCTAACTAATTATTACAATTTGATCTCAGATCAACACTTTGATAGAGAATCTGTCTCAGAGTATAATATAACAATAACAGCCACTGATATGGGCTCTCCCCCACTTTCTAGCTCAACAAAATTACATCTTAAAATATCTGATGTAAATGATAACGCACCTTTATTTAATAAAAATAGTTACTCCGCTTACATAACAGAGAACAATTCACCTGGAGCGACTATATTTGCTGTCAGCGCGCGGGACTCTGATTGGAACCAAAACGCCAGAGTCTCTTATCTTTTAGAGGAAACACAAGTCAGTGGAAGTCCAGTTTCTACTTATGTGTCTTTGAACTCTGAAACTGGAGTTCTTAGTGCACTTCGTTCTTTTGATTATGAGCAAATTAAACAACTTCAGCTGGTAGTCAAAGCTCAGGATGGAGGCTCTCCTCCACTCAGTAGCAACGTGACTGTGAAAATACTGATCCAGGACCAGAACGACAACCCTCCTCAGGTCCTGTACCCAGTCCAGACTGGTGGCTCTCTGGTGGCTGAGATGGTGCCTCGTTCAGCAGATGTGGGCTATCTGGTCACTAAAGTGGTGGCTGTTGATGTGGACTCTGGACAGAATGCCTGGCTCTCCTATAAACTGCAGAAAGCCACAGACAGGGCGCTGTTTGAAGTAGGGCTTACAGAATGGAGAAATAAGGACTATCCGCCAGGTGACTGATAAAGATGCTGTGAAACAAAGACTGTCTGTTATAGTGGAGGACAACGGGCAGCCCTCTCGTTCAGCTACAGTCATTGTTAACGTGGTGGTGGCTGACAGCTTCCCGGAAGTGCTGTCTGAGTTCACTGACTTTACACAGGACAAGGAGTACAATGACAACCTGACTTTTTACTTAGTGCTGGCTCTGGCTGTAGTGTCCTTCCTCTTCATCACGTGTTTAGTGGTTATTATATCAGTGAAGATCTACAGGTGGAGACAGTCTCGCATCATGTTTCACTCCAATCTCCCTGTGATTCCATATTATCCTCCACGTTACTCAGACACTTTGGGGACAGGGACTCTCCAACACGTGTACAACTACGAGGTGTGCAGGACGACTGACTCCAGAAAGAGTGACTGTAAGTCCGGTGGAGCAGGTAGTCAGAACGTGCTGATAATGGACCCCAGTTCTACAGGGACGATGCAGCGGATACAGAGTGGAAAGAGCATCCTGGATGAACCAGACTCTCCTCTAGAGGTTAGTCAAATAATGTAGCTTTCTGTGACGGTTCCCCTCTTTCTGTGTTTATAGACATTGTTAGTGAAGTGCTGCATCTATATTCAGCACCATGGGCAGCATCTCTCCTCTCGTTTGATATGAATAGCGCTTCAATATTTACATTCAGAACATTCCAAAAATATTCTTTCCACTTGTTCCCTCTTATTAATATGCTGATTTTTAGTTTTACATAGACAACGTTTTTTTAGACGCATTTTGTTTTACCTTGGTCTTGTCATTTTTTAAACATGGTTTGTATCGAGGCTGCTCTCCGTAGTCTGTTAGCAAGTTTGAAATGGTGGTTGTGGTTTGCTCAGCACATGAAATGTTTTATTAACACTCAATGTGTTCCTTATTTAATCTCAATTAGTTTTACCAAGCCCCATGTTTTATATGTCCCATTGCTTCCCCAAATTAAATAGGATTGAAGTTGTAATTTGCTTGTGTTCATTTGAGTTACTTGTTCGGTAATTATGTTTCTATTTTCATTTATAAAGATTTAACTGCAAATTAATACATACATGGTAATAATTAATTTGAGATGAATATGTATTTTATTTTACAGAATACTTGGATTACGTATTTTGTCATAGTTTGAGTATGCACCATTCAGATTTGATCAATCATTTAATATTTCCAGAATGTATTCTATGTTGCACGGTGTTACTGATTTTGGACTCTAAGCGACGCTGTTGGTTAATCTACGTTTTTCCAAAACACTATCACAAAGTCCCCTCCCGATGAGAGAAAAGGAGGTGGTGTGCACTTAGTGGGCTGATATCTGAGGGTAACACACTAGCAAGCATTTAAATCTCAATTCGGATAAATACAACCTAACGGATACGGGTCGTGTTTGTTTTGGTGCAGAGTATAATTTCCTATTTTTATTTTTGCAATGGCGTGTGGAATCTCTCCATACTCGCGATTCGTGAGATGGCACTTTGGTTGCGGACAGAAGTGGAAGCTACTGTTTTTCTTTCTTTATCTATTTCAAGTGGTCAGCGGACAAATCCGATATTCAATCCCAGAGGAGATGAAGAAAGGCTCCCTCATCGGTAATGTAGCACAGGACCTTGGTTTGGATCTGAAGAGGCTCCGTTCTGGGCGGGCCCGTATCGTGACCGGAGAAAACATCCAGTACACCGAGCTGAAGGCAGACAAAGGGATTCTAGTCGTGAAAGAGAAAATAGACCGAGAGCAGCTTTGTGGAGACGAAACCCCGTGCAGCTTCAGCTTTGAGGTGATTTTAGAAAACCCGATGGAGTTGCATCAAATTACAGTAGAAATAACAGACATAAATGATCATTCTCCCGCTTTCAAAAAAGATAATATCCGTTTTGAAATCAGCGAAATTGCCAGTGCTGGCGCTCGTTTTCCGTTGACGAGTGCAGAAGACCCAGATGTTGGTGTCAATGGATTAAAGGAATATGTTTTGACCGAGAATGATAATTTTGTTGTGAAACAAACCTCTAATG